GGTCTTACTATAACAACTATACATTATAGTGCCATCATTACTTTCAACCAGTCATTGCAATTAACTTTTTTTACTGGATGAATGAAAATTCTAAAAAATCTTTAAAAACGGAATGAAATTGTGCCAAAAAAAAAACAATCAACACCCACTTTTCTCTACACATATAGGATAAAATAGTACCTAACTATTTTTGTAGAACAAATGCTTCAATCATCTTCCAATTGCGTTCAAATTCGAAGGAGTCGAGCAAAAAAAAACAAAAAGACAAAAAAACAAAAAAAAAAAAACAAACAAAACAAAAAGTCTTTTATAAGTACATATGGCCTTAGCTATAACAACTATACATTATAGTGCCATCATTACTTTCAACCGGTCATTGCAATTAATTTTTAACGGATGAATGAAAATTCCAAAAGATCTTTAAAAACGGAATGAAATTGTGCCAAAAAAAAAAAGTGGTGCTAACCATAACAACCACTCCTATTTACGACGCATAAAAAAAAAAAAAAAAAAAAAAAAAAAAAAAAAAAAAAAAACCTCATCAATAACTTTGAAAAAGTTAAAAAAGCAAGTGGAAAAAAAAAGAAAAAGAAAAAAAAGGAAGAAGAAAGAAGCGTGCCCAATTGAAGGAGGAGAAGCAACCTGCATAAAAGAGAAAAATATCATATCTGATAAAAAAACCCTAGAAAGAGAGAGAGAGAGTTATATATCTATATATATATATATATTTAGCAAAGATCTCACCTTCATGTAATAATTTCTAGACAGCGTCATCTTAAAAGCCACAAATAACAGGTTCCTTGTCCGTCAAAATATAGAGAGACAAGTGGACAATCAAGAAGCGGACAGAGAAGAAGAAAAAAAAAAGGCGAGGGAGAGAATAACACAAAAGAAGAGAGAGAAACACTGAAGAAAATGCAAAGAACAGAACACTGACGCTTCAGGGGAGGGGAAAAAATAGCAGCTGTGAGGAAAAAAAGAAAACGACAAATTACAAAGACGAAAGCTTTGAGCGGTACAAATGTGAGGGGAGCTACAATAAACCAACCATGATTTCTAATGTACTTATAGATAGAGACTAGTTGCAACCACGTGCTTCGCACGTGTCGATCTTGCTATGAGAGTTAAATGTGGTGTTTCGGGTTTTTAGATTGTTGAATAGTTTTTATTTAAAGAATAATTTGAGTTTGTGAATTTCACTTTTAAAAATAGATTTTAGTTATTTTTTCTTTCATTTATAACAAATTATAAGGAAAAACATGAATTTGTTTTTTTAAACATGATATGGCTATGATGTTGGATATAAATAAATGTAATTAGTAGAATTGATATATTTAAAAAAGAAGCGACATAAGCTACCGTTATGCTAAAAAGAAAAGCAAGAAAGAGAACCAATTCCCGGTCATGCTATGAGAATTCAACAAAAGGTTCCATTTTCATAGACAAAGTGCGCTCATTAGCAAAAAAACTGGGAGCGTGATCTACCTTATATCTCAAAAAAAGAATACATTTACACCAAAATCCAACATCAAGTATCTTATAGTCAAATACAATTTCTCTTTTTTCACCAAGACGAATGAGATTGAAAAAATAGTATGAAATTAAATCTGTTTTCACCGGATTTTTGATATATGCTTTTCTGATTTCTTCCTTTTTGTTAATCTTTAAATGTATCTAAATTTTCTGTTTTATTCCTTAGTTTACAACTAGGAGAAAGAGGAAGAGTGAGAGAATTTGCTTTCTCCAATATTGCAGCAACCTTCAAGTTGGTTTTGGGAGTAGGACCTGGAATGCTGGGCCTTGTCGCTGCAGCAGGCTTCAAGTTGAAGGACTGAGGCCACAGACAAAACAATATAACAATTGCCTCAAAAATTCAAGATAAAAAATCCAATTAACTATCGAGTTGGATAGAAACGGTAAGCCCTAACCTTAGTTCGTATCTGTTCTAGTAGCGAACAGACGTGCAAGGTCATACGTTCCTCAAGGAACAACTGGTGAGATCTGCACAGCTTGAAAAAAAAATAATAATAAAAAATCAGTCGCCAATCTATGCCTCAAAAATGCATACCACCAACACTGCAATGTTATGTATACAATGAAGCAACATAAATTAAGAACACTCACTTTGTATGTGACGTTGGTACAACTTCTGGGGTGGTCTCTACGTTCCACAAAAGAAAAAAATTTCAACGAGTATGACACTAAAGTTGTACTGAGAAGTTCTTTTTCGTTACTTACTTTCGCAAATACTTTGGCCATTAGGTATCCGTCACAGTATTGACAAGGAGGGAAAAAAAAGTACATAAATTTCCTCATCTATTCAGCATTCACCCATTCACAACGGGTCTGTGTATATTAATTTATGAATATTTATATAGATGTATATAACGCGAACATGTAAAATTCATGAATTGATGCACCTAAGTACTCGTAACCCCATATATATTATGATCTAACACAAGTTCACTACGTCAGAAAGTATGTGTTTCTAGTATTAGAATCCAACCTAAGCTGAAAGATACCCGAGATTTTCATGTAATAACCTAAAAGCCTATATAACAAATTGCACTAGAAGTCAAGAATGACGCATAAATCAAGTGTCATGATGGAATTTGGAGATGCCAAGTAGTTGGGACTTGAAAAGGGAAATATACTATTTAAATAAGAGCATGTTCATGAACCTCCTTTTACAAAAGATTACAGGGTGCATATTTTAATTTGACAAAATAATTATCAAATTAATATGGTAACATAATTAGGTCCTCTAAGTATTCATATTTGGAGACAAATATAAATAGATGTGTTACAGTTTTAAATAGTTTAAAAATCTTTAACTTCCCACATTGCCTCAAAATTTTGTATGTTTATTGCAGTGACAATCATTTTATTATAATACCTTCACTTTGCGGTTCTTCTTTTCTCGTTGAATCTCGACAGTTGCGATTAAAGATGATGCTGCCTCTATATTGAAGAATGATGGATCAGTATAACGCTTAAAACATGCTCCCGCAACATCGAACCTATTAGAAGTCAACAGGGATTCTAAGACTTCCCAAGTTGCAAAGTCAATTGTTTCAGTCCGATCTTCAAATCAACATAACTTGAGTAAAAACACTAAGTAAAAAGACTAATGTAAGTACAGTACTTGTCCAGAAGGAATAACCGCGGTGGGCCCTGGGTCTCCTCATAAGAGTCTGTAGTTTTAGGGGTGAATGATAATTTTTTCATTGATCAAAACGTATATACAACCCCCTTTTATACATAAAGACCCCGGTCACCCTAATGCTAATTACACCAATTATTAATTCTAACAGAATCGGGGAACAAAGGGAAAAAGGAAACAAATCAATAAAACAGAAAACTAATCAAAAACAGAAAAGGAAACTAATTAATAGAGATATTGGAAATGATTCCAAATCTCTTTATTCCTATTCTACTTTGTCAAATATTCTAGGATCTTTGAATTTCCTAGCTGAATATTTCAACACTCCCCCTCAAGCTAGGCGTAAATGTTGATTAAGCTGAGCTTGGAACTCAATTCTTCAAAATTCTTCCTTGGCAGAGCTTTAGTGAGGATGTCTACTATTTGTTGATTTGTAGATATGTTGATAAGAACATAATATTGACTACAACCAGAAAGAATCAAAAGAACGAAATATGATCTTTATTAACTAACGGAAATGAATTACAAAAGCAGTCTTTCCAGATACTGTCAAATCTCCCTTGCTCAGCCTTAACCAAGACTTCCTGTACAAGACTCCAATATTTTCCTGCTTTTCTCCGTTCCCCTCTCCCCCTTTTATTCTCTCCCTCTTTGCTCTACTAACTAGAAACTAACAATCTTTCTTAGCAAGCCTGCTAACAATCTTTCTTAACAAGCTAACTAACAATCTTTCTTAACAAGCTTTAGAAACGATCTTTCCTAACAAGCTTTCTAATTCTTCTTATTCTTCCTAATGTATACTTGCCTAAGTAAAGGCTTATCAATTACACCCTCCTAAAAAATGTCACCTTGTCCTCAAGGTGTAAGTCAAGAAATTGCAGCCGAATGACTCCACTTCCTTCCCATATTGATGAGCTTGAATCTTAGAGCGTCGAATGGAGCATTGACTCTAGGAGAGTCAAGCTCAGCAGTGACGAAGGCTACAACAGAGAGGCTTAGAACCATGAACTCGGTAGCGACGATCCCAACAACATTGGGTCCTAAAGCAGTGAATCAGATAAACGTTGGGTTTTGGAGTTGCAAACCCACCAATTTCAAGTCTGACATTTACGAACTTCCTAATTTGAACTACAGGCACACCAATTTATGCATACCCTGCCCTGTCCACACTGGCAGACCAAGATACAGCCCTGATTTTACCAGAACTCACGCCTAAATTCCCGATTATGGCTTCAAACACGCTGGTGCTGGGAGGCCCATCCCCAATTGCGCAAAAATCAACTCCAATTGCGCCAGAATCTCGGCACCCAATCCAAATCCAGCAAAAATTTCGAAACCCAGCCCAACCCTTGTTGGAATTCACCCTGAAAATCCCTGACCCAACTCTTGAATTCAAAGACCCAGACCTTAAATCCCGAGACACAGTCCCCAAATCGCCGAAATCGGAACCTATCCCGCCGGAGTTGCTAACCCAACCCTAATCACATGAAGATAGGAACCAATCGAACTGGAATCGTGAAACCCAGTCCCATAGACGCCCGATTCCGCCGTGACTCCGCAAGAATCTTCAGAATCGACACTTAACAGGTTGCGTCTCCTCCATCGATGATTTCTGACGTTGCTCCGCCGCGATTCCCCACTCAAACGCCGACGTTGGTTCCCTAACCTCCACCATCGACGATTTCGCTATCTCTGACGCTACCAAGAATCGCCTCTGTTCTTCCATCATCTTTCGAATCTGAGCAAAATTTTCCCTAATTTCTTCTCTAACTTCCCCAATTCCCTTCATCATTGATTCGTGAATTTCTCTGATTTCTTTCTTTAACTCATCCAACCTCTAGTCGAATTCCTCTTCAGCCATGCCCAGAAAAGTGAGCTCTGATACCAAAATGATAAGAATAGAATATTGACTACAACCAGAAAGAATCAAAAGAACGAAATATGATCTTTATTGACTAACGGAAACGAATCGAGATACTGCCAAATCTTCCCTGCTCAGCCTTAGCCAAGACTTCCTGTACAAGACTCCAATATTTTCCTGCTTTTCTCCATTCCCCTCTCCCCCTTCTATTCTCTCCCTCTTTGCTCTACTAACTAGAAACTAACAATCTTTCTTAGCAAGCCTACTAACAATCTTTCTTAACAAGCTAACTAACAATCTTTCTTAACAAGCTTTAGAAACGATCTTTCCTAACAAGCTTTCTAATTCTTCTTATTCTATACTTGCCTAAGTAAAGGCTTATCAGATGTATAGTAGACTAATGATCCCGTTGTCTATCTTCTCTTTAATGAAGTGTCGATCTATCTCCACATGTTTTGTTCGATCATGATGAACAAGATTTTTAGCTATGTTGATAGCTGATTGATTGTCACAAAACACCTTCATAGGAGATGGGATACCAATTCTTAATTCATTGAGTAACCTGTCTAGCCATAAACCTTCACAAATGCCAAGTGCCAGTGCTCTAGGAGATGGGATACCAATCCTTAATTCATTGAGTAACCTATCTAGCCATAAACCTTCACAAATGCCAAGTGCCAGTGCTCTGAATTCTGCTTTTGCACTACTCCGTGACACTACTGGTTGTTTTCTACACTACTGGTTGTTTCTTACTTCGCCAAGTAACTAAGTTTCCCCACACATGTGCAATAACCAGAGGTAGACCTCCGATCAGTTATAGATCCAGCCCAATCGGCATCTGCAAACACTTCAATGTCCTTTGCCTGGTGTCATTTTTAGATATCTCAATATTCGATTGACAGCCTCCATGTGTTCCTCAGTAGGTTCATTCATGAATTGGCTTACCACACTAACTGCAAACCCAATGTCTAGTCTAGTGTGGGAGAGATAAATCAGCTTCCCTACAAGTCTCTGGTATCGCCCTTTTTCCACTGGAGTACTTCCTTCCTTTGCTCCAAGTTTGGTACTTGAGTCTAGAGGCGTCTCAGCTGGCTTACACCCAAGCATGCCTGTCTCCCTAAGAAGTTCCAACACATATTTCCGCTGTGACACTGAAATTTCATTTCTTGATCGAGTTACTTCCATTCCAAGGAAATATTTTAGGTTTCCAAGATCCTTGGTTTCGAATTCCTTGGCAAGTAGTGTCTTGAGTTTGAACAATTCATCTTTATTGTCACCCGTGAGAATGATGTCATCCACATATACAATGAGAACTGCTATCTTCCCTTCCGATGAGTGCTTAACAAAGAGTGTGATCTGCCTGGCATTGTGAGTATCCATACTTCCTTACGACCCCACCATAATCCGAATTCCCATAGTAGCTCCTTCAAAGTGCATCTTGATGTGATTTGAAGAGGAAATTGCCACAAGATTGAGATAAATATGTTTGAATTTAAATTTTCCAAAAGAAAAAAAAAAATTAATACAATAAGACCTCGTCATGTTCATCCTTACTAACATCCCATACAAAAAATAAAATCTTTTTTCAATCACCTTAACGAAGGAGGTGGACTTCAACCAAGCCAGCCCTTCTTATGAAGTGGCTATGGAGATTTCCAATGGAAAAGAAAAAACCATGGGGCTCACATTTGGCTGCTAAGTACCTCTCCAATGACAAAAATGGATTGACCAACCCACCTCTAAAATATCTTGCATCTAGAAGGGCATTATTTGGTATAGAGAGACTTTTTCAGGCAGGACTTGGGCTAGACTTTGGTTGGGCAATAGTAAGTTGATTCGCTTCTGGGATGATGTTTGGTCGTGCCACTCTCCTCAGAGAAGCATGCCATAATTTATATCAATTCACAAGGTTCTCATGACCTCAAAGTGATGGGAGATTGTTTTAATCCATAAAGAGACTTCTTGAGCTTGCATACCTTATTTATAGTAGAGTGAGACTCAAAACCAGGAGGGATATCCACGTAAACTTCTTCTATAAGGTCTTCATTAAGGAAAGCATTCTTAACATCAAGTTGGTAGAGAGGCCAATCAAGATTTGCAGCCAATGAAAGTAATACCCGAATAGTATTCAATTTGGCTACTGGAGCAAAGGTCTCTTGATAATCAATGTCATATGCTTGAGTGAACCCTTTAGCAACCAGCGGTGCTTTAACTCTGTCCACATTACCATCAGCCTTGTATTTGACAGTGAATATCCACTTGCACCCCACTGTACGCTTCCCATTTGGTAGCTCCGAAATTTCTCAAGTTCCATTCTTCTGTAGAGCCTTCATTTCTTCCCATACTGTTGTTTTCCATTCTAGAATAGACAGGGCTTCATGGATAGAGTTAGGAACCTGCACCTTGTCTAATTCTACCACAAAAGTCTGATAGTTCGGCGACAATTTTTTATAAGATACAAAATTGTGAATTGGATGACTAGTACAAGATCGCACCCCTTTCCTTAACGCAATTGGACAATCAAGATAATCAACAATAGGCTCATCTATAATGTTCACAGAGCTAGTGTTACCTGGTGATAGAGTCTCAAGAACTCTTGGATCCGGTTCAGCCTCTTGACGCTGATCAGAAGGTGCTTGTTGCTCTACGTCCTCTTGGGTCTTCTTCCTCCGAGAATATACAATGAACTCACCATTGTTGGCAGGCTTTGGACGTTGGATAGGAGTTGAGATCGGGAGGACATCTGAAATAGTGGTTTCAGATTGGCCTTGGTCTTGGAGGTGAATCAAGTTTGGGACAGACATAGTGGTGGTGATGGCCGGACCAGTGATTGGGTTTGAAGGATGACTCGGTGATGGTGAAGGATGACTCGGTGATGGTGATGATGGAACATCTATGTCCCAAAGCTAGTATTCTTGTACATTCTCCCCCTGAATAGCTGATTTGGGAAAGTATGGTGTATTTTCAAAGAATGTAACATCCATTGAGGTGTAGAATCGCTTTGTGACTGGGAAATAGCATTTGTACCTAAAGTTTTTAGGGAATGATTATTCTCTCATTGATAAAAACATGTATGTACAGACATTAGGTCTCTGTTCACCCTAGCACTAATTACATAATTACTGATTCCATATAGAATCCGGAAATAAAGAATAAAACAAGAAACAAACCATAAATTAAGAAACTACCATAAATAGAGATATTGGGAATAATCCTAAATCTCTATATTCCTAATTTACTATTGTCAAGTATTCTAGAATTTCCTTAACCGAGTATTTCTACACTCCCCCCTCAAGCTAGGCGTGAATGTTGATCAAGCCTAGCTTGGAACTCAATTCTTCAAAATTCTTCCTTGGCAGAGCTTTAGTGAGAATATCTGCTATTTGCTGACTTGTAGAGACGTGTAGTAAACTCATGATCCCGTTGTCAATCTTTTCTTTGATGAAGTGACGATCTATCTCCACGTGTTTTGTTTGATCATGATGAACATGAATTTTAGCTATATTGATAGTTGATTGATTGTCACATAATACTTTCATAGGAGATGGGATACCAATCCTTAATTCACTGAGTAATCTGTCTAGCCATAGACCTTCACAAATGCCAAGTGTCAGTGCTCTGAATTCTGCTTCTGCACTACTCCGTGATACTACTGGTTGTTTCTTACTTCGCCAAGTAACTAGGTTTCCCCATACATACGTGCAATAACCAGAGGTGGACCTCCGATCAGTGATAGATCCAGCCCAATCAGCATCTGCAAATACTTCAATGTTGCTTTTCCTAAGTATAATCCCTTGCCTGGTGTCGTTTTCAGATATCTCAATATTCGATTGACTGCTTCCATGTGTTCCTCGGTAGGTTCATTCATAAATTGGCTTACCACACTGACTGCAAACCCAATGTCTGGTCTAGTGTAGGAAAGATAAATCAGCTTCCCCACAAGTCTCTGGTATCGCCCTTTTTCCACTGGAGTACTCCCCTCTTTTGCTCCAAGTTTGGTACTTGAGTCAAGAGGGGTCTCGGCTGGCTTACACCCAAGCATGCCTGTCTCCCTAAGAAGATCCAACACATATTTCCGCTGTGACACCGAGATTCCATTCCTTGATCGAGCTAATTCCATTCCAAGGAAATATTTTAGGTTTCCAAGATCCTTGGTTTCGAACTCCTTGGCAAGTAGTGTCTTGAGTTTGAACAATTCATCTTCATTGTCTCCCGTGAGAATGATGTCATCCACATATACGATGAGAATTGCTATCTTCCCTTCCAATGAGTGCTTAACAAAGAGTGTGTGATCCGCTTGGCATTGTGAGTATCCATACTTACTGTTTTATTGAACCTGTCAAACCATGCTCTAGGAGATTGTTTTAATCCATAGAGAGACTTCTTAAGTTTGCATACCTTATTTATAGTAGCATGAGACTCAAAACCGGGAGGAATGTCCATGTAAACTTCTTCTATAAGGTCCCCATTAAGGAAGGCATTCTTAACATCAAGTTGGTAGAGAGGCCAATCAAGATTTGTAGCCAATGAAAGTAATACCCGAATAGTATTCAATTTGGCTACTGGAGCAAAGGTCTCTTGATAATCAATGCCATATGCTTGAGTGAACCCTTTAGCAACCAGCCGTGCTTTAAATCTGTCCACATTACCATCTGCCTTGTATTTG